CTACAAAAAAATACAAAAATTAGCTGGGTGTGGTGGTGCAGCTACTTAGGTGGTTGAAGTGGAAGGATCACTTGGGCCTGAGATATTGAGGCTGCAGTGACGACAGTGAGCCACGATCACACCATTGCACTCCAGCCTGGGTGACACGGTGCAACCCTGTCTCAAAAAAATAAAAGAAGTTGCGGAGTAACAGAGAGCCAATGGCATAAGTGTAGATCCTGTGCCAGTAGGGCACGGAGTTCAAGGAATACTGTCTTTTTTTCCAGGTAGACTTGGAGAATCGGCCTGAAAGGGGACAAACAAATCAAGAGAATTTATGTATTCCTACTGAAATAAAGTGCTCACTAGGGGGCAGTGGGGAAAGGAGGTATTTCTCTCAGCATTTCAGTTAACCCTGCTTTGCAACATTCCTGATTAGCATTAAGCAGACATGATTCTGCTGGAAGAAATACTCATGGGACACTAATCCTGCTTAGAGGGTTAACGTACTGCTTGATCAAAAACATATGCAATAATGAAGTTTCAGGAATTCCTTTTCCTAGGGGTGTGTATGTGTTTATTTAAGATAGGCTCTTCACATTTAAATAGATTGCTGACTAGCTATTTAGGCAAGCTAGGAATATCTAAGGACATCTCAACCATCTGAGTTGACATAATGGAAAATGACCTGGCTCTTCAGGAGACCAGACTCTGACAGCACTGTCAGTAGAAGGACCACTGCTAGAGCAGAGAGGCAGCACTCCTACACGAGTTTGTTTGTTTAATTTTTAATTTAATTTTTTTTTATATGGAGCCTCACTCTGTCACCAGGCTGGAGGGCAGTGGCATGATCTTGGCTCACTGCAACCTCTGCCTCCTGGGTTCCAGCGATTCTCCTGCCTTAGCTTCCCGAGTAGCTGGGACTACAGGTACGCACCACCACACCCAGCTTATTTTTGTATTTTTAGTCGAGATGGAGTTTCACCATGTTGGCCAGGATGGTCTCAATCTCTTGACCTCGTGATCTGCCCACCTCGGCCTCCCCGAGTGCTGGAATTACAGGCGTGAGCCACCACCGTGCCCGGCCTCCTACACGAAGTTTTCTAGAGCACTGGCTCACAGGCTGTCATCTGCCCTCTCACACACGACAGCTGATGCTCACTGGCACAGTCTCTGGCAGCCTCGCCCTAACTCCACCTTTTCCATTCAGGAAATCTATCAGAATTTGAGCGAGAGTAATATAATTATAGGGATAACTTTGAATACACTGGAAAGGTGAGTCACAAACTAGTTACAAATTAGTTGTGGTAGACCTGTCAACTCATTCTGATACTGTAGTGTGCTATAAAACCAGCATTCAGACATTCTGCTCTGGAGAGCAATGGGCGGTTTTTCCACTGAGTCAAGATTCTTTGTTTACTAACACTGTTTAGAAGCAGAATTTTTTTCTCCTAATGAGTATTTCTTACACCATTACTCCTGCTATATATAAAGGAAATATATCTGGCTCAAGTCAGAATGAGCAGCATCACTCTTGTTCTACTCGAACAAATGTCACGAAAGCAGCTTTTTATTAAAGTAGCATAAATCCTCCTTAGCTCCTGGAGGGAATTACAGATTCATAGAATGTTACAGCTGGAAAGGGCTTTACAGCATCTAGAAAAATGTCCTCAGGCCGGGCGCGGTGGCTCACGCCTGTAATCCCAGCACTTTGGGAGGCCGAGGCGGGTGGATCACCTGAGGTCGGGAGTTCAAGACCAGCCTGGCCAACATGGTGAAACCCCGTCTCTACTAAAAATACAAAATTAGCTGGGCGTGGTGGCACATGCCTGTAATCCCAGCTACCAGGGAGGCTGAGGCAGGAGAATTGCTTGAACCTGGGAGGCGGAGGTTGCGGTGAGCCAAGATTGTGCCACTGCACTCCAGCCTGGGCAACGAGAGTGAAACTCTGTCTCAAAAAAAAAAAAAAAGTCCTCATTTCATAAATGAGAAAATCTAGCCAAGAGAAGAAAAAGACTCACCCTTGATTACAAAGTTAGTAACAAGCAGAGTCAGGAAGCGAATGAGGTCTAAATTCTGAGTCAGTCTAGTACAGACTACACCATAATCTAGTAAGAAAGGAAGAAAAGGGATCGCAGATTGAAGGGACAGGAAATTGTGATCTTCAAGAAGTTCAAAGTGAAAATGATCAGAGGCTGACATATTAAAGAAAAAGGTGTGGCAGTACTCAACAGCTCAAGAAGGGCTGCTGCCTGTGGATGAACACTTAGGATTGAAAATAAGAATAAATGCTCAACTTTCTGGCAAAAAGTTGAGAAATTATGTGAGTTTAGAACCCTTGAACAAGAACTTAAAAATAGACATTTAAGTGGCTGAAATTATCTAGTGAGTAATACTGGATTTAGAGGAGGGAACTGGACAGCTTGTGTAAGGAAATCTGAAAGCACAAAGGAATTACATTGCATTAATGTGAAGTTCTTTATTTACCTAAAGCTCTTTGGTATAGAAATTGAAGAAAACTTTTTGGCTTAATCACTTATACAAAACAAGGACCACTCCAAGGCTTTACAGTATAAAAATTTTGGGGTTGGGCGAGTGGCTCATGCCTGTAATCCCAGCACTTTGGGAGGCCAAAGAGAGCAGATCACCTGAGGTCACGCGTTTGAGACCAGCCTGGCCAACATGGTGAAACCCCATCTCTACTAAAAATACAAAAAAAAACCAACTCGGAAATGATGGTGTGCCTGTAATCCCAGCTACTCGGGAGGCTGAGGCAAGAGAATTGCTTGAACCTGGAAGGCAGAGGTTGCAGTGAGCCGAGATCATGCCACTGCACTCCAGCCTGGGTGACCGAGATGGACTCCATCTCAAATTAAAAAAAAAAAAAAAGAATGTTTGCATGTTTGTCTACTCCCAAGAGCACTCTTCCCTTCTTAAGATATACTGTGCACTGGTAAAAGATTAAAAACAAAACAAACTCAGCTAAGAAGCAATCTTTGGTTTCCTGGTCAATGAAGAACTTTGCTGAAAGAAGATATTCCCATTTAGAGAAAGCACAAAGTGAACACAACTAGAAACAACTAAAACTCAGTCTGGTATTTCAATACTGTGTCATAACAGCCAGACAACTTTCCAGCTGTTCTCCAAGACAGAAAACTCAGATTCTGACAATGAAGAAGATGGATGTGGCCCAGTGCAGAAGTCAGATGGACCAATTGGTTCCAGAAGATTTCTACTTGCAAATAATCTGAGCGATGAAGATTACAGGCTTATGAGTGATAACAATTTGCTAGGCATTATAGGTGAAGTACAGAAGAGTTGCTGAGAAGGTTACAACAAATTAAAGAGGATTCCCCACAAGAATCAGGTGAAAGTAGAGGTGGATAATGTCTAGTACTAGTAATGAGTCTGTAATAAAGTGGCTTACCTCTTTTGAACAAACTGAAAATATGACAGGAAGTGAGCAAAGAGAAAACCAAGCTTGGACAGCAGTGAGTCAGAGTAATCCATATAGTGGTAATTTCAGATTCAATGTAGGGATCAATTTTATCCTTAATAATGGAAGGCTGAATACAGCAAATAAATATGCATCATCTGCAAGACTTCCCAGGGGAGAAAATGAGGAAAACAGTCAGAGGAAAAAGTGGAAAATATGGGTGCAGCACACCAACATGGCACAAGTATACATATGTAACAAACCTGCACGTTGTGCACATGTACCCTAGAACTTAAAGTATAATAAAAAAATAAGAAAGTGGAAAATCCACAATCTGAGTCAACATTTGCAAGGCCACCCAGGTCAGGTACAAAGTGCGACAGAAGTATTAATGAAAGTTCCACTTACCAGAGGTCAGAGAAGACTGAGAAGCAGGAGGCCAGACCAATGGAGAACTAGAGCGAGAAACAAAAGTAGGTTGCCTCCAAATTCACGGTAAGAAATTTCACAAATATTTCATGACAATACACCATCTCAGACTTTTGAATGACCCCTGGTAAATGAGACAGAGATTTTCTAGAACTCAGCAACATGAGACATTGAGAGAGTAAATAACTGACCCATAGTTGCAAAGTGGGCATCTTTTTGCAGCTTTTGGAACATGGAATACCTTTCCAGGAGAACATTCTCCAGACACAATCAGAAATGGTGAATCTGGGGCACTGAGACTGAGAAATCCAGTCATAGTCCTGGCTGTGATAGTAGGAAGAGTTCATCATAGAGAATATTTGCCAAGATATAGCACGCCTAAGAGAACCCAGTTAACAACTCCAACACCAAACAACAGTCACTTTAGAAAGTGAACAACGAGGACTCAGAAATAATATTTTCACATTCTGAGCAAGCAGGTGTGAGAACCTATTTCACTACCAACAGAATTCCTATTCACAGAATTTCAAATACTCATTTAATACACCTGTTGCAACTCAAAGAGCATTAAAGCAAATAATGACAAGATGTGCAGACTCAAATACGGACAGTGATAGTGATTTATATCCTAGCGGCTCACCCCAGTCAGAACATGGCAAGAGCAAAGTCACAGATTGAAAGAGATGGTTCTGATCTCAGCAACTGTTCTGGCTCCAGGTCATGTCACAGTACTGCTTATGATTCTGACTCAAGTTCTGCAATCTTTAAATCAGCCTCCAGTTTTTGAAGCGTTCATTATACATAAACTAACAACCCGATCTAACTCACTGGTTTCTGAAGGAATGACTGAACTTTCCTCAATCAATTTCTGTTTCAGTAAAAAAGAGGGAAGTGGGGAGCGAGAGGGGAAGGAAATGAAAGGAATTTCCAAACGAGTTTTCTTCTAGGTACATACAGCTGTGACAGGACTGCCAGGCTCCGAAAGAACAAGCTTTTTATGTTAGAAAGGGAGTATCACCTAGCACTTTTAAACAGATGGCAAATGACCAGAAGTATGAACCTCTAGGCCTGAAGAAGGCAGTTAATTACACCAAGACTGTGTTTATGTGTATACAATCACTAAGCAGCTGCCTCTATAGATACACTTCTTAACAAGTAAGTTTTTAAAACTTATTTATTTATTTTATTTTTGAGCCAGGTCTCGCTTTGTCACCCAGGCTGGGGTGCAGTGGCTTCACACAGCTCACTGCAGCCTTGATTTCCCGGGCTCAAGTGACCCTCCCACCTCAGCCTCCCAAGTAGCTAGGACAACAACAGCATGCCACAATGCCCAGCTATTTTTTAAATTTATTTTTTGCAGAGACAGGGTCTCACCATGTTGCCCAGCCTGGTCTCAAATTCCTGGCCTCAAGCAATCCTCCCACCTTAGCCTCTCAGAATGCTGGGATTACAGGTGTGAGCCACAGTTTTTATACTTTAAATAAAATTTTTAGATATCATTAAATCAAGTTATTTAAAATCTATGATCTGAGAAGCTACTTGTCAATATTATAACTGAATATTATATATAATTTTGGCATATCAAAAATATTTACATTGCAGCCAACACATATGGTCAATGAATACAAAAATTATTTATAAATGTACATATATTTACAGTGACATCCCTGGGCAATAGGGACAAAAAAAAATTAAGAATACAAAAACCTTTGACCTGGTACCAGTTGGTCAAGTCTGGGATTCTTGCCAAAGACCTTGAATATCAAAGCCCCAGTCTCAACTATCTGCCTGAAACCACTGAAGAATCCCAGGCACACTTCCCACAAGGCTCCAAAGTTATTTTTGCTCCTTGGAAGGCAAAGCAGAACATCAAAGTAGTGATGTTTTCTCAGGACCATTCTGAAGACTAGGGCAATCCAGCAGGTTAAGCAGCAATGTGACTCTTCTGACAGGCAGATGCACACTGGGGCACATCCCCATGGAACCATCAGGAAGCACATTTGCCCCGTATCTTCCCTCTGCCGATGCTGCACATTTTTGATGAGCTGTACCCATTTCTGTCAGCTGTTACCATTTCTTCATCAGGTATAAGACCAAACAACGCATGGCCCACCTTGGTGCAGTCAGATGCAATCATAAAGAAAGAGTAAAGCAAATGCTGACTTCGGAGTTTCTTCTGAGCTCTGAGGTAGTAAATGCAAAATTAATTTATGAGTCTCTGCCCAGATTTCATCCTGAAGTGGGTTTCATGTGCCTTCACTACCATCTTGAATGTTCCGAGTCCTACTAAAATCAAAACCATTATCCTGTAACCTGTGGCAGGACATGGAAGAAGCGGAACAGTCTGGCTCCAGCCCTGCCAAGCCCTCATTTTGATGAAGTTGTGGTGACTCATGGACTGGCTGCTGGGAAAAAGGAGGATAAGGCAGGCCTAGTTCTCTGTTTATGTTCCAGACGGGCCGCTGCAATGTTTCTGAGAACGAAAGACAAGAATTATCAGTAGTGACTGGTAAAACAATATCCTTTTAGCCAAATCCTCAAAGAAATAAAGATGTTCAATATTCCCGAATAAGGACACTGAAATCAAACACATACAGTCACACACGCGCACGCGCGCACACGCACCCACCCCCACCCCCACCACCCACCACCACCACCACCACATGGTCTTTCAAATCCCTCTGCTTCACAAACCTAACCAATTATTTACTGAGATCATACTATATATCATGTACTTTCACAATGAAATCAAACACATACAGTCACACGCGTGCACGCGCACACACCACCACCACCACCACCACCAGAACATGGTCTTTCAAATCCCTCTACTTCACAAACCTAACCAATTATTTACTGAGATCATACTATATATCATGTACTTTCACCTGTTATTTTAGTGGTTCTGTTGCCAAAAATTTTTTTATTTTATTTTTTTTTTGAGATGGAGTTTTGCTTTTGTTGCTAGAGTGCAATGGCGTGATCTCGGCTCACTGCAACCTCCGCCTCCCGGGATCAAGCAATTCTACTGCCTCAGCCTCCCAAGTAGCTGGGATTGCAGGCATGTGCCACCATGCCCAGCTAATTTTGTATTTTTAGTAGAGACAGGCGTTTCTCCATGTTGGCCAGGCTGGTCTCGAACTCCCAACCTCATGTGATCTCTCTGCCTCAGCCTCCCAAAGTGCTGGGATTACAGGCGTGAGCCACTGTGCCCAGCCACAAAATTTTTAAATAAAACTCTTTAGACACATGGAAAAGAACTAAAAGACAAAACGGTATCCATATTGTAATGAAAGTTTCATGATAGATAATAATCATTGATTCAGTGCAGCCATTACATCTTTAAATATGTCACAAAATTGTTTTAAAAATAAACGGCCATTCCCTTGCAACTCCTAGCATGTCAACAATTCTAACAACAAATGATAGCCAAAGGAGCTATATTAAATCAAATTATCTGCACACTGGTTTCAAATACGCATTTCTCATTCTTCTTTAGTACAATAGTGAACTATTTTCCCAAAGACCGTTTACTGAAAATTATATTAACTTCATGGGTGCATTTTGGAAAAAGCTAGCCAAACATTATAAAAACAAATACCCAGAAAAAAAAATAAAATCCATGTGAAAAGTAAGCTAGATCAGGGTTTCTCAAGTTTTAATTAATATGCACACAGATAACTTGAGGATCTTGTTAAATGTAGACTCTGATTTGCTAGGTCTGCGCTGGGATCATTCTAACAAGCTCTTAAGTAATGGTGATGCTGATAGTCAATAGACCTGACTTTCAGTAAGAAGAAGCTAGGATACCCTAAGTAAAAAATGGCCAATGCGCCAAAGCACTTTCATTTGCTTGATTTCCTTACTTACGGACCAGTTTAAAAATTAAGGCATCCCTAAAGTTAGAAAAAAGATGGACTACATTTCTGGTCCTTCTTAAACCCTTTTTGTGTTAACTCTTCTAAGACATCCAACTTAAAGTGGATTTACTGTTGATGCATTTCTTTCATGAACACTTAAAGATTAAGAGATTTAACTTCAATAATAATAGTGCTTCAATAATAGTGCTTTCCTCTGACCTGTAACCTCTTTGGAAGACTTTAATCTCTTAAGAACAACAGGCCGGGCGCAGTGGCTCAAGCCTGTAATCTCAGCACTTTGGGAGGCCGGGACGGACGGATCACGAGGTCAGGAGATCGAGACCATCCTGGCGAACACGGTGAAACCCC